CTTGAATTCATTTCCAACATATCTATTATCAGTGGAAATGACCAGAAAACTGCTTAACTGTTAGTAAAAACCCAACAGGTTCACCACAGTATTTTAGAGAAAGAAGTCTGTGACTATTATGAGACTGTAGTACCATTGGAGTGAATTAGTCTTAAGCGCCCTCTCAAGTAACCTTGCAAACAACTCAGTTGTGATCAAAATCTCAGACCAAAGACGGACAGGCAGTAAATGCGGATAAAAAACAAGAACACCTTTTTTTACCCACGAGTTATGAATTAATCTTATTCACAAAATTGCCTCTTTAAAGGGAGTTGAGGAATTGCTAGATGATTGGATGGGACAAGGAAAGCTGATATTGTATGATTAAAAACAGAAAATGCTGGTTATGTGCACGTTTGCAATTTGTGCTGGATTTGTAAAACATTATTCCAATGCCAACATCATCTTGAAACACATGTCAATTTATATTCACTTTGAAATAATTCAGGTAAGATTCAATAAGTTGCAGTGTTTATACACTCTACTCGGCAAGACATTGCTTCATACAATCTGAAACATCAATGTAATGTCAAAACATTACATTTTACATATATATGGATGGTTCTCTCTGCTACAAATATGAAGAATACAACATGCTGCCACAGTTATGTAAAACTACTAAGACTGTAATTAATATCAAAACTGTGGAAGAGACTTAGAGGAAGCAATACGAAACATTCTGAACATTTCCACGACAGAATCAATTACTCGACATAAATTTTGGTTTGCGGCTCAAGAAACATCAGTACTGGTGAATAGAAATTCCTAATTTAATGACCAGGTATCACCATTGAGCCACCACCAGGTGCAAAATCCTCTCTTCCTCAATCTACTGCACCAATATGAATATTTCCTTTCTCTGCACCCACCAGCCTTCAGGCTTTTCTGTGAAATTGTCCTTTGACATTTATTTATTGATTTGCACTGTAGGGTCCATCATTAGTAATTTGCACCTATGCTGGCCAAACAAGATCGGCAGCAATTTACTTTCAGTCATATGACTGTCAGTGTCAATTGACATGGACAGTTAAACCCATGAAAGTAAAGTGTGCAACTATAAACGTTATGCCATTTTGAATTGTTTTCATTTATGATCACAACGACATAAATGTTACCTCTGCCAGATCGGCAAAGCTCCAATAATTCTTTCATAAATTGAACTGACACTATTTCAATGCAGCAATCCTAAATGGCTTATTGCCATCAACAAACAAATACCTGAAATTTATCACACTTACAACATTCTATTTATTTATGACCCATTACATCTTTTCTTGGACTTTCAATGGGAGAACATTGTAGAGAGTGACAACATTTCAATGAATGCCATTAACATGATGTTGATTAGAAAGTGAACAGGACTGACATTCCTGAATTTTTCTTCTTTATTTTGTGTTAAGTTTCCAACTATTTTAGTGGTTTACTTCAGGTATTGTCCAATTTTACAATTTGGTATATACTAATAAGTTTGATAGGAAATGGGGTGTAATTAGACATTGATTAAAAGGACACAAATAAGCATTATTTTGACTGCAACTTCTAGATTACGGTGGCAGAGGGAATTCAATCCTGGACGTACAGTTCACACTTTAGCAACAATAATGGGTCTGCAAACTGAAACTGATTTTCTTCCTGTTTGTTGCGTCACTGCCCTGTAAGTACTTTTTACTGTTTCAAGACTTAATTGGCCAAATGTACATAGGGAACAAAACAGATCATAGCTTACTGTAAAAACTAGGGTCTGAGCAGAACTAAACAAGCAAATGATGGCTAAATTGCCACTGTTTTTATAGTCAACAAAACACAATGAACACAATATTAAAATAAATGCATTCATCTTTCATTCAATTTATCAGAAACTATTTGGCTTTCTCCAGTTAATTTAAGTTGAAAAGGAGACATATCTCATTGCCGCAGCACAGCCACCTTTCCAAATCCAATCCAACTTTTTCTCAACTTTCTGGCAATTGTAACTTTTCTAAAGATTAATTTTTGTAGCATAGTTTGACTCCAAACTCCATTGCTCTTTTGCCCAAACATGTTCTTACCAAAGTCTGAGCAGAAAAGTTTGTGGGGCAAGGTTGTCAGAGTGCAGAGGGTAAATAAACTGGTTTGAGGCTGAAACTCTCAGTCACTGTTAAATTCTAACTATGACACAAGATAATATTAAGTTGGTTTTATTGATTTACAAATTACAACTGTGACCATGCTTCAAAAAAACAATTATTTGGTTGTAAGTGTTTTTCAGTCAGTCTGAGTTTGGGAAGTATTATATAACTGCCCCTCTCTTGGTTTAAGCCAGCATATGGAATTTCATGGCCATAGTGGCAGGATACTAAAAAGTGTGTTGCTGGACATTTTAATAGGTCTTGACTGCACTCAATGAAGCAAAATGGGGAAACCCAGTGGCTCAGTGGTTAGCACTGCTGCTGTTCTTCTCCAGGAATCTGGGTTTGATTCCAGACTTGGGTGACTATCTGTCGGAGTCTGCAAATTCTCCCTGTGTCTCTGTGGGTTTCTGCCAGCTGATCCGTTCTCCTCCCACAGTCCAACGATGTGCGTGTCAGGTGGATTGGCCATGCTAAATTGTCTATAGTGTCCATGAATGTGCAGGCTAGGTGGCTAGCTGTGGTAAATGCAGAATTATGGGGATACAGTCGGGGTGGCATGCTCTTTGGAGAGTCGGCGCAGAATCTATGGGCTGAATGACCTCTTTCCACACTGTAGGGATTCCATGAGTTCCAGCCAGTTTTGCACCATGGCTGTCTGTTCCAGCCCAATGGCTGGAGCTTACTCAGCCTGAACATGAGCAGGACCATAATGTGTAGACTCCAACCTCCTTCCAAGGGGGAACGCATAACATCCTGTGCTCCCACCAAAAGTACAATCTTACACCTCCTAAGCCACTGAGGTCTGAAATGTTTTCACAAAGTCAACTATTTCCCATTGTGGGGCAATCTAGAAAATGAAAAGTCATAGTCTTAGGCTAAAGGGCAAAAGATTTAAAATAGACATGAGGTCGATTAATTCTCTCAAAAGTCCATTAGAATTCATCACCACAGCTGGGGTAGACACTGGGAGACTGAATAAATTTGAGGTGGCGATAGACAGATTTTTAATTAGTAATGGGTTAAAAGGTTATGGGGAGCAGGCAGGAAGATGGAGTTAAGGCCAAGATGAGATCAGCCATTATCGTATTAAATTGTGGTGAAAGCTGAAGAGCCAGAATTGCCTACTCCTGCTCTTAGTTCCTATGTTCTACCAAATAAATTGGCAAAAGATCCCAAAAGTAACAAAGGATCAAATCTAAGTATGTAAATTAGCATAAGAATTATGGCAGAAGAAACAGGAATCACTGAACACAAAAACAAATTAAAAAGAAATTCTGTCTTTGGACAGGCGGTGTTTATCAGCAGTCCAAGAATTCTGCCTGAAGGTGTAACAGACAGTTTCAACTTAAGATAGCTTGATTCTGTTCATAGACTCAAGGTTTGAAGACTCTACTTTGTGTACTTATTTTTCCTACTCTCTTTTAGCCCTGCTTGATAGCTTAACTCTTATTGAGTTACGCTCCATGCAAAGGCGCTAAAATACATTGAAGAGTGAAATAAGAGTGAAATAATTGTAAACTGTAAGTAATGGCACACAATCAAACTTCATTTGAGCAGGAGCAGGAATTGGCAACCCTATCACACAGCTGCATTAGAATTTCTCCATTAACAGCTTTAAAAAAAATCCAAATTCTCCTTCCCATAACCATTTTCTCCATTGTAACTGTTGAAATCTAAACTCCGAGTCTGATTCTGAATGGTGTCATGTAACCTCAGATTTCTATTCTCTATTCACATGTAGTTTTAATTGCTTCATATTTCAAACACTGTACAATTTACCTGCACGTAAATTATTCATGGTACGATATGCGTGCAGATTACTGCATGCAACACCACTGATATCAGGTCACAGAGACCAGTTGAACAGTTATGCATCCAAATGTAAAATATATGGGAATTAATAAATTGGTGTCAGTACATTCATTTATCATTATTAACAACAGCCTGTTAATGGTTACCTTTGATTTGAAAATTAACACTTTATTGTCAGCTGAAAGAGAAATAGGAAGTATATACTAAGGACACTAAAAAACAATTGCAATCCATTTTCTACCATTGCCAATCACCCGAACCTTCATCTACCTGTCTGATTCTCCATCAATTTACTACTGCTTCTCTGAATAGTGAGTTTCATCTTTTCAACACACACCATAGAAAGTAGTCGAATCCAATTTCTAGGACACTGTCATTATCTAAGCTTAAGCAAATAACCCTAGGCTCCAAAATTTGTGGTAGTCTTGGTCACATTATGAATCAGTTATTGATTATCTAAGACACTTGAATAATTAAGTAGCTCCAATGAGGTTTTCCTTCTCCAGCACAAATAATCCTAGAATTCTGAGAATCTCATTCAAAGGTCTTGCACTAACTGTGAGACAGGTAGTGAGTAGCAGTTCTTCTCAGAATTGAGATGCTGAGCACAGTGAGCTATTTTTGCTCATTTTAAAGGTGCACAATTTTGTCAATAAAATAACACTGGCTTAGCACTGCTTCATACAATATTAACGTAGCTGAGTTTCATAAAATATTAAAAATGAGATCCCCAAACATTGGAGAGACATGCCTCATTCACATGCTGCAGATTTTGGTAGAGACTTGCTCCAGAAATTGGTCTCAAGGTATTGCACAATTCTAGATGATTTATTCCTGGCTGTGGCAGTTCAACAGGGCATTCATCGGCTCCATTAGTTTTGCCTATTTGATGAATCAGCATTACTAATGGAGTTTTAAGCTGATTTAGAAATTAAGTCCATTGCTATTTATGTGTCATTGGCATGCATATAAAATACAATGTATTTAGTGCAATGAAATTCCTGACACACAGGATAACTAAAGAGGTAGGATGCTTACCCTAATAGAAATGAAAGAATACGGATACAAGCACATAAGCAGGGCTACAACAGAGTCTAACACTTTTAGAAAATAAAAACATTATTTGTAATAACTGTCCAAAGTTTTATCATAACATGAAATCAACATACCAAAAACACTACAAAATTTTACCTCAAATTGAGATATTTAAGAGCAGGTTTGCATTAAAAGTTTCACAAATCACATGCAACAGTAATAAGATGATAATCTTTTCCATAACTATTGAAAGACTGATTGTTCCTTCAGGCCAAAAACATGAATTGCTGATTAATCATGCTTTAGTAAAGGAAAGGCCAATCAAAATGACTGGGACAAAAATCTTTTATCTTTATAACATCAAACAGAAAAATTTCTATTTATAGTTGCATTTAAAATGATACATAAAATCAGAAATTAAAACACATAAATTTTTCTAGCCTCTGAAAATACTTTAGAAATATAGCTTTGCAAAGTCCACATTTGCTGATACCTTGATGTATGTGCATTATCCTTCTTTTCCCAAACTTGCGCATGTGCTTTTAGTCAAATGCCCTTACAATAGAAGAAAAAAAGTTAACCTAATAAGCATGAAAATAGTGATCACAGAAACTTGATTGTGTTGGTAGTAGATGGGAGTAGACAGACCATGAGGGGTGAAGAGAGGTGAGTTGAAGACTTGGGAGGGGTGTGACAGTGATGTTTTTGATAGGCATGGGCAAGTGAGAGAGAGGTTGGGAGTGGGTAGGAGAAGATTGAGAAAAGGGCTGCAGAAGGGACAAGAAATTATCTCATTGCCATCTCATTCCTCCCTAACCCTCTTGCTCTTGACCCTCACCATCCCATGTTCTTTCTCCCTCTTGTCTCCTCACCCTCACATTACCTGGCCTTTTCTCTCTCTCTCTCTTCTCCTGAGCATCCCTGTCTCTCTGTCTGCACTTTTCCTCCTCTTCTCTTCTCTCTGGCACCTTGCCTTCACTCTCTTCTTCCTTGCTTTGCTACCTCACATTCCCCCTGCCCACACCCCCTTTACCACACCAACTCTGGCTCTTCTCATCTCCCTCTCTCCTCACACACCGCCCTCGCCCCAACTCCTACCACTCTCTCTCCTCACCATTTCAGTCTTGGCCCACTCTCTCCTCGTCTTCCTCTCTATCACTTCTCGCCCTCTCTCTCCCTCCTGTCCTTCCTTTCTCACCCTCTCCTTCCTCACCTCTCTCCCTTTCCTCACCCTAATTCCCCTTGCCATCCCTCTGTCTGTCTCTCTCTCAATTCTCACCTTCTATCTCCTTTTCTTTCCTCCTCAACCAATCTCTCTCAATTTAGATGTAGTTATGGAATTATCAAATAAAATTGCTTGGTAAAAACCACCAGTGCAGCTGTCTGGTGCACATTATTGTGAAACAGTCATAGATGTCAAGTTGAACAAAAATATAATTTCTTGATATAAGTATCTAGTTAGTTCTCAATTAGTACCCTACAGGTAGAAAAATAAAAAAAAGGGTAATGAAGCAGAGGAATGCAAAATCAGCTAAACCTCTGCAGCTGCCATTTTATGGAAGACAGCAAATTGGTTAGTGCATTTCTTCATCACTACTTCTAAATACTCTTTGTGAACACTTTTCTCTGACTTTAAGAACCACTGATAGATAGTTCTGAGCATACGGATGATTTTTTGGATCAGCTTTCCCCCTATAACCACCAAGTACAGCTTCCATTACCTATCTATCAATGATACAAAGTTTCACCAGTGGTCATGTGCTTGGCCTACAGATGTTTTATTTTGTTGCAATTCAACCTTCACAACCCATATCACTGGCAGCCACTGCAATTCAGTTGAAGTGAGACGAGATAGAAGGAAATAAGGTCAGGATTCAAATGAAATTGAAGATAGTGATATGAACGACAAGTGCAAGGAATCTCCTTGATGAGCTTTCTACCACTTGGACTCCATATATTTCAATCAGCAGAAGAAAAGGCTGGTAATATTGCAATACAGCAGGCTACATAACCAGAAACAGGATGGTCTCACTTTATCCAGTCATTCAATATGATAAGCTCTTCTTCCTTCAAACAGCATTTAACTATGTATCTAAACACTTTCCACAAAGCTAACTACAACTTGGCTTTTATGATTAGGCACAAGGTTTTAATTTAAAATAATTAATTGGAAAAATAAAATCTTCTATTGTGCATTAGAAAAAGAAGAATAATTTTAAAATATGATATCTCTTTAATGCTGCTTTGAGAAATACCATTTGCTTAAGGTTATTTTTATAAGAATGCAATCTTCTTGTAGATAAAAATTGTGAACCAATATGAATGACTTTAAAATCCTGAACAGCTCTATCCAAATTCTGTATGTTACGGTGCAATGAAATAGAATGTTATTGAAAAAAATTGTAACACTTACTTACTATGACTCTTAATACTTGTGTTCTATTACTTTTCAAAAAACCTTGCACCATTTTGATCTAAGCTGCAATAAGCTTAGCTAAAACTTCACAATAATTTACAACATGATGTACACAGTATCTGGCATTTGATTTATCTACAATTATCACAAATGTTCTATCTTAACATTTTGCATCCCCCACAGCAATATCAACAATTTGTAACAGTCTTCTTGGATGGCAAATAGCTCTAAGTGGACAAGGTTTCATTCGAACTTGGTGCCTAGAAGATTTATCTTGACAAATCTGAGAATAGAAAAACAAAAGGACAAAATCTGAAAGCAGCACTGTTTTTTCCAAAAGGATTTCAATTGGCTGAATTTGTCATCAAGTTAAATGTTATTTTCCAGGTTTCAACAATACTCAGAGAATCACTACTGTGTGGAACCAGGCCATTCGGCCCATCGGGTTTGCACTGACCCTCTGAACAGCAATCCCTGTACCCCTGCATTTCCCATGGCTAATCCACCTAGCCTTCACGCAATGGGCAATTTAGCATGGCCAATACACCTAACCTCATATCTTCAGACTGTGGGGAAAAAAACAGAGTACCCAGAGGAAACCCACACAGACACAGGGAAAACGTGCACCCGCCACACAGATGGAGGTGGGAATCAAACCCAAGTCCTTAGCACTAACAGGCTGCAGTGCTAACCACTGAGCCACCATGCCACCCACCTAGATTGAAATAATCCACATCAGTGTAATTTGTCTCTAAAGTAATCTAATAATGCTTACATTTATAACAATTTTTAAATATGGTTTGCTCTCAAGGATGGTGTACTGAGCAGAAGTGGAAATTCTGGCTGATTTCCCATCCCTCCCAAGGTAGCTGAAAGCATTGCAAAGCTTAAAGGAAGAGAAAAAGAGCATTCAAATTTATGCAGTCCTGTTCATCCTCTCAGGATGCCCTGAAACATTCCACATTTTGTCTTGAAGTTTAATTTCTCATGTGATGTAGGATAATGTAGCAGTCAATTTGCATAGAATCAAAGAAATTCATGATCATAATTTATTTTGTGTTAGTTGAGGGAGAAGTATTGGCCACAACACTGGAACTACTCCACTGATGCTCTGCCACAGGCTCTTTTAAATCCATCTGAGGGGTTAGGAGGGACAAAAACAGAAGTTGCTGAAAAAGATCAGCAGGTCTGGCAGCATCTGTAAGAAAAGATCAGAGTTAACGTTTCGGATCCGGTGACCCTTCCTCAGAACTGCCTCCTTCTCACTTTAAAGCCTCATTCAAAAGACAGCACCTGCAACAATGCAAGTTTTCCTCAGTACTGCACTGAGGTACCAGGTTGGATAATACGTTCAAGTTCCTATAGTGGGGCTTGAATCCATGACCATCTAATTGAGGTGGAAGTGTCATTACGGAGTAAAGGTCAACATATCAGACTGAATTTTACCAGCCCACTAGGTTTCAGTTTGGACACACAAAGGGCTAGTAAATTACTGGGAGTGGAAGGGAGTTTGGGTGTGTGAAGTGCCCAACACTTTTGTGCTACCATGACGATTTAACAGTGACTGGGGGAGGCTAACACTTCTGCTCAGAAGTAAAATGAACCACATAAGCAGCCAACGAATGATCACTTCCCCGCTGTTGCTACTTTTTCACGCGGGGTAGGTGAGACCATTATCACATGAGAGAGAACTTGGTGAACCCTGATGCCCATCTTCCACATTCAAAGGGCTGCCCTCCTAATTGGGCAATGTGGTGACCCCTGACAGAAATGCACAGCTCTGCAACTGTTCAGTTCCCAAATAGAAGAAAAATGCAGGTCTCAAAAGTGGAGATAGTCACCTTTCTGTCTTTGAGCCAGATTGGAACCAACATCTTAAACATCCAATTGGAGAAGGGGTAAAAGGAGAAGGCTTTATAGTCCCTTGGGCCTAGTCTAAATAGACCATAGCTGAATTTCTACATCAGGTCCACTTTCCTGTCCTTTCAACACCTCAGTATTCAAAAAATATTCCAATTTTAGTTTTGAATGCACTCAATCAGATCATTTGCAGTCTTCTGGGGTGAGCAATTCCAAAGGTTCATCAACAAGTGAAAAAAAAAACTTTTCTGAAGAAGGTCAACCCGAAACGTCAGCTTTCCTGCTCCTCTGATGCTGCTTGGCCTGCTGTGTTCATCCAGCTCTACATCGTGTTACCCCAAAAAAAAACTCATGTCAGTTCTAAATGCTCAACCCATTGTACTGAAACTATGACCCCTAGTTTTAGACTCTCTAGCCAGGAAACACAGTTTCTCTGTTTCTACCCTCCCAAACATCTGCAATCACTCCTTCCTCTTCTAAATTTCACAAGGTAGAGATTCATTCAATTCATCTCTTTTAATAGAAAAGCCCTTGCAAGCCAGGAATTCATCTAGTGAATTTTCTTTGCATTGCCTTTAAGAAAAAACATCCTTCCTTGGGTAAGGAGACTAACACAGTACACACTAACTAAGTTCTCACCATAGACATTCACAATTACAGCAACAGGGCTCTAAAGAAGTCATATTGGACATGAAATGTTAGCTCTATTTCTCTCTCAATAGATGCTATCAAACCTGTTGAGTTTCCACAGAATTTTTTGTTTTTAATTACAGTTACAACAAGGCTTACTTTCTCTTGTACTCCAGCACTCTTGCAATAAAGCATCCGTATTACCTTCCTTCCTATCAGCTTACAGTATCACATTACATTTCTATGATTTGTTCATGGGTCACCCAATGCACAGAGACATTGAATAGGGCTAAGTTCTCCCAACACAAAAAAGTGATGTAATTATATGTTACAACTTCCTGTTCAATAAGATATTATGTTATTAAAATTCCTCATTTCTCCATAATCTCTGTCTGCATATCATAGAATCTATTTAAAACCATCACTAAATTTGACATTACACCTTCTTAGTCCATTTCAAATGGTTTTGATGTACCTTATTAACATATATTTTGAGTTTATTTTGGAAGAAAGTTACTGAAAGCATAATTTCACCAGGCTTTACAGAACAGTTCAATGATCCAACTTAAGTGAAGGTTTTAATACCTAATTTTTCCAGTTATTCTACAGAAAACATTAACAGGAAAATACATTTCAAAGTCACAAAATGTAAGTCGTCTGCAATGATAATTGCAAATAATTAGCACTAGCTGGATTAAGAATTAAACACTAAATATAAAATAATTTACATGGTGGAATAGTGATGACTTATGTAGGCCAGAAAATAAATGTTGTCAACCTCTGGCAAGATTTAGATTCAAATTATTATTAATTTACATGTACATTTAACAATGTGATACAAAATTATTCAACTAGGGCACAGTTTTAATATAGATAGCATAACAATTCTGTTTAACGAACTTGACATATTTAAAATGCACATAACACTGTACTAAATTCAGTGTCCAACTTGACCAGCTGTGACTGGTACTGGGAATGATTATTGTTTGCAGGATTTATATTGAGATAATCTCTATGTGCGTGATTCATTTGAACTCAAGCAAAACTATTGAGAACAACACATTTGATTGAGTTCTAAGGCACTGCAGAGTATGTATTCTAGTACTATACTTAGAAATGCTCTATAAAACTGCCTGTTTTAACAGTGTAGGTAGTGATTCGGAATAAAGGGATCTAAGTGAATCTCATTTTTCAAAAAAAACTGTTCATGTTAGGTGAGCATCACTAGCAGGGTCAGTATTTATTGTCTATCATTAATTGCCCATGAGAAGATGGTGGTCAGCCACTATTTTGAACTGTTGTGTTCCACATGTTGTTAGTATACCCACAGTGCTTTTAAGAAGAATTTCTGGAATTTGACTCAACAGTGGTAGGATGGTTAGCCATAATCAACAATGAACCATAGGCAATTATCTGCTTTAGACAGAGCGATGATTGGTTATACATAACTTGAGAGACACTAATTTTATCTTGGTTTATCATTTCCAAATGTTTTCCCACTCCCAAGGTTAAATTGACTAAACTATGGACACTGCATATATTTTTACATCCTTTTTTTAAATTAAGGTGCAACATTTGCAATTCTCCAGTGCTCTGAAACCACCTATGTATCAAAGGAGAATTTAAAAGATTATATCCAGGACCTCTACAATTTTCACCCTTGCTTCCCTTGGTATTCTTAGATATGCATTCCATTTGATCTTGGTGACTTATTAATTTTAATCACAGCCAACTTTTCTACCACCTTTTCTTCATTAATTTTTAACTCATTTGGTATCTCAACTAAGCTGTCTTTCACAATGACTCCAGCAGCACCTTCTTTCTTGGTAAACACAAAACCAAAGTAAAGTATTCATTAGGTATGTCAGTATGACCTGTACCTCAATGCTTAGAGCCTCTTTTTTGGTACAGAACTAATTTTCTCTCTCCCCTTACAACCCCTTTATTTTTGTTATATTTCAATTAATATGTTTTGGATTTCCTTTTTTGTTAACTCCCATTATCTTCTCAAATTTTTGGGTTCCTTTACTTGCTTTTGCATTGGCTTTCTGAATTTCCCATTTTCACTTGTTATCAGATTCTGACGTCTAGCAAAAGTACCCTTTTACTACTTTATCTTACTCTCCAGCACTTTTTTGTCATTTAGGGCTCTTTTGATTTTACATATCCAACCTTCCCCTTTGAGAATGCAGCCTGACAGTGCTGTTACACATTTTCCTGCCAATCTTACATTCCAATTTACTCAGCAGTTTTTTTTTCAATGTGCTAAAATTGCCTCCCTTCCAATTCAATACTTTACTCTAGCTTAGATCCCAGTCGACTTATTAGCTTTGATTTTTTCTTACCCTGCTGGCACTTGCTGTCCTTAGCCCATAACATCCTCAGGACCAGATTCAGCAATGCGTCCTTTGTTGGACCTGAATGTATTAGTTAAGAAAATATTCCTGAACACATTTCAGAAGCTCTTCTCCACCTCTGGTCTTGTCAGTAACACTATTCCAGTGTCTATTAGGATAACTGAACTCCACCATTACCGTGGCTTTAAAGTTTTTGCACCTCTATTTTCCTTGCAAATTTGCACCTTTTGTTCTTCTCCATGAATTGGCATCCTACACAATACATCCAGTGGTATAATGACATTTCTATTGTTTCTTAGACCTAAGCAAATTAATTTGGTTTTTGATTTCTCCCCAAGCCATCACCTCTTTCAAGAAGCATACATTCTCATAGAATCCCTACAGTGTGAAAGAAGGCCATTTGGATAATCAGGTCCAAACCAACTCTCCGAAGAGCAGCCCACCCTGACCAGCATCTGCTATGCTATTCCTGTAACCCTGCATTTCCAATGGCTAACTCACCCAGCCTGCACATCCCTGGACATGATGGGCAGCTTAGCATGGCCAATCCACCTAACCTGCCCATCTACAGACGGTGGGAGGAAACCAGAGCAAACTCAAGCAGACACGAGGAGAGTGTGCAAACTCCACACAGTCAGACACCTGAGGCTGGAATCGGACCAGGGACCCCGGTGCTGTGAGGCAGCAGTGTTAACATGGTAGGGTACAGTGGCACATTCTCCTTAAGCAATCCAATCTTAACTTTCCTAATATTTTCCCTAATATCGGCATCCTTGTTAATGAAAGATGGATGCTAGATGTGAGAATATGGCACAGAACAGAGCTAAGTGAATATGGGAATCATGTGAGCAATGACTTCGCTTGAAGATTGTAAAACATATATAAACAAATAATAGGAGCAGAAGACAACCATTTTGCCCCTTGAGTCTGCTCCACCATTCAATAAGATCTTGGCTGATTTGTGTTTCAAATTCCATGTTTCCATCTACCCCAATTACCTTTGATTCCCTTGCCTAACAAGAATCTACTTAACTCTACCTTCAAAATATTCTACAACCTGTGTCAATTGCATTCTGAAGAAGAGATTTCCAAAGTCACACAACCCTCTGACAAGAAAAAAAACATCCCTGTTCTAAAAGAGCAAGACCTCATTTTAAAATAGTGCCCCCTTGTTTTGAACTAACCCACGAGAGGCACTTTTTCTACATCCATTCTGTCAAGACCATGAAGGATCTTTGAAATTTCAATCAAGTCACCCCTCTTCTAAATTCCAAGGGAAATGAGCTCAGCCTATCCAACCTCTCCTCATAAGACAACCTATATATTCCATGTATCAATTTAGTAAACCTCTTCTGAACCCTGTCAAATGCATTTCCACCTTTCTTAAATAAGGAGACCAAAACTGCACAGTATTCAAAATGTTGTCTCACTGATGCATTGTATAAGTGAAGCACAACAGCCTTACATTTATGTTCAATTCTACTTGTAATAAGAATTGTATGCAAGATCGAGGACTTGAATCTCTACTGAAGTCTGGGATAATGGGCATTGCACAAGTAAATATTAAGTATCCATATAGTTCCAATGTAGAAACACGCACTGTGTCTCACAATTGCATTTGATAACTGATCCCCTGACCAAAATAGATATTGAAAAACTATCTATCGAAGTCTGAGCATGCATTAATGTTGCATGTGAGGCTATGTAAATTGAGAATGCTGGAAATTAGTGATAGATTTAGTAATTTGATGGTTTTTGATCCATGCTAAGAGTATAAAAAAGTTGCAATTGAGTCAATGTGTGTACTTCTGGTGTACTGGACTCTATGCTTTGGAGAAATAAACTTGTTTTCTTGAAAATACGTGCATAGTTACTACATCAACATCGTCAGATGCTGTGGTGAATGTCAATACATCTAAAGTCCCAAGTTAAGCAGTCTCGTGAAATCAAGATAAATATTCTCACCTATGACATATGATTTTGTTGAACTTGCTGCTGTTGCTGTTGGAGCAGAAGTTGTTGTTGTTGTCTGCGTCGGGCAGTTCGCAGCTTCTCAAATCTTGCTTCCATTTCCTCCAATACCTTTGGCGTGTATCGAACGACCAGTTTAACACTGTTCTGAGCAGCCTTCAGTAATTCAACTGCTTTCTCATGGTGTTCCCCTTCAACACTCTGAAATGATCAATACATTTTATTCCCTACACTGCAAAACAAAATCCAAAAAAATCTACTCTGCACCTTTGTGAAGTATTGTAAATTCACGGCTATGATTATTTTAATCAACCTGTTTGGAGATTTTATTACACATATCTGTCACAGGTGGGGCTTGAACACAAATCTTCTGGCCCGAAGTAGGGAAATTTTACAGCTATATCCTTGGCAATCGCAGTTTCGCGCCTTGACAATGGCATAGAGTAAGCAGAAGAGCAAGGAGGAAAAAGTAATTTAATTTCAAGGATGGCCTGAAGCAAACACATTTGTTCCCATTGGAAAATATATAAATTTCAAAAATGTTGGCAGTCCCTTGTAAAAATTACTTTCATTTCGATCATTTAGCACCGTATTGATGTTTAATGTGAAGCCAATATGAAGCTGAAGAAAATTGCATTACTGTAATGAAAAGCAAATCCTTGACAAAACTCTTGAGCTTTGAGAATAGGAATGCCAGCAAATCAACTCAGAATATTACTGTGAAGGCACAAAAAGAAAAAAAAAATCTTTTTGCTATCACTTATTTTTGAAAACAGGTTAAAAACAAAGGTTTCAAAAAAAAATAGCATGACACGATACAATGCACTCAACAAGAACCAACAGACTAGAAAAAAGTTACCATGACTAAATTCTGGACCACATTCCTACCATTAACCATTTTTGAAAAATTGTTCTATGCAGGATTTATATAGTCTTCATTCTGGTTTTGTTACACTTTAATACAATAGCCACGGAAAAGGATTGTGCACTCTACTTTTGGAATTTTAAACCAAGCTACTAGCCCTTGGATTGCAGAGTGACCTTTGGGGTTGAATAATATTCACAACTTTCAACTTCAATATCGATTTGGTCACTTTCCTGTAACACCTTGAAAACAATTTGCTTTATGTTAAATGCCATTTGTTGTTTTTGCTCCAATTAATGATACTGAATTTCTAGTTAAATCAACAAGTTGCTCAGTGATATATTCAGCCCTATGTTTGTCTTTCTTAATTTTAAATTAACAAATCTTAAGCATTAGCATCAAAAACAGTGGATAACACTAAATAGAATGAAAATTCTTGTTGGAAGACAACTGCTAAATAGAACTCCACAGATGACTATGTTCAGCCCTTCTTTCACACTACTCCAAAATTATGGATATTTCTGGTAACGTAAAATTTGCTGATGAATTAAATGGAATAGCAATGTAAGTAGTACAAGAGAGGTTTTTTACATTTGAAATTATTCCAAAAAAACTCATGACTCAAGTGTAAAGGTCCACTTTAACTGACTTTGGTCATTGACTTACCACTCCATTGACAGACAATAATTGATCACCACGCTTTAAGCCCCCATGTCTATCGGCAACACCTCCAGGGATAATACGAGAGATGTAGATTGGTGAATTTTGCTCCTTTCCACCCATCACATTAAAACCAAGGCCTTCTTCAGTTTTTGGTAACTCCACAACCCGGGGATGGGAATGACCTTCACTTGCAGCAAAAGCAGCAACAGTGGCCTAACAAAAAAATATTTTAAACTCAGGTTCACAGAAATAAAATCAAATATTGAATTTTGCTGTAATACACAACCTACATCCATATTTTCACCTCTGTATATTGCCATCATTTAACATTTTGAAACAATGGTTAGTACTTTTAAACTTGGCCTGTGACAAGTTCAATATTTTTGACTTGAAATGAGGATAAAATATTTCTGTATTTTTTACTAGAAAGTTCGGAAACAGTAGAAATCAAAATGTATGTCAACTTTCATAGGCCATAAAACTGACTGAAGACCTCACCTGAGTTATGTGAGACTCAGGCTTTTTCATTCATCTGATTATTCAGGTTACAAATGTATAAAGCTACACAGGGAAAATACTGTTGGTTTTGGGACAGTGGGTAGATATTTACTCATGTTTAGAGATGCTAGGACACACTTCTAGAGCAGGTGAGACTTGAATCCAAGCCTACCCAGTCCAGACACAGAGACACTACCACTGCATTACAATAGCACTTTGAATAATATTGACTCTCACTGCTGTTCAATCAAACAATGTGCCTTCAGTTGCTGGTAAATGTCTAAGTTTACAAATAAATTAATTATGCCTTAAATGACTGAGCCAGAAAGGCCTTTCGTATAGAGTCATACAGCATCAAAACAGACCCTTCAATCCAACCAGCCCATGCTGACCATAATCCCAAACTAAACTAGTCTCACCTGCCTGCACTCGTCCATATCCCTCTAAACATTTCTTATTCACACCTGTATCTAAATGTTGTCTGAACGCTGTAACTGTACCCACATCCACCACATCCACTGGAAGTTCATTCCACACACAAACCACTGCGTAAAAAAACCGTCCCATGTCTGTTTTAAATCTTTCTCCTCTCACCTTAATAATATGCCCTCTAGTCTTGAAATCTAAGAGAAAATCTAAGAGAACTTCATTATCTACATTCCTGCAATGCATTGATAGATATGGTAGATATGCAAGAGCGAAACAAGATACAATTTCAAAGGCCAGGAGGTGTCAATAGCATGGGCCCTGTCTTTCCATCAGATAATGCTCACAAATTCAGAACTGAGCCTTATTTTTCAGTTCCCTGCTTTGTACTGATTTCACCACGTGACATGGCTAAATGAAAAGCAATGTCTCGTGATAACTGACATTGGCATCAATGGAGAACAATGGAGAGATCATCTTTTAGGTGGATTAGATCTAGTACAGAGACATGTCTCAGTACAGAAGTGAGAGTGACAGCCCTTGACAGCAAGGCAGCAGTTGACTGAGTGTGGCATCAAGGACCCTCACAAAACTGAAATCAATAGGAATCATGAGCAAACTCTCCACTGATTGGAGTCATACCAAGCATGTAGGAAGATGACTGTGGCTGTTGGAGGTCAGTCATCTTAACTCCTGGACACCTCTGTAGAAGTTCCTCAGAATAGAGTCTTAGGCTGAATCATCGTTAGCTGCTTCATTAATAACCTTCCCTCAACCAGAAGACCATAAGAAATAGGAACAGGAGTGGGCTGTTTTGCCCCTCAAGCCTGCTCTACCATTCAATTAAGGGGGAGGCAATGGCCTAGTGATATTATTATGCGACTATTAATCCAAAGACACAGGGAATGTTCTGGGGATTTGGGTTCAAATCCTACTATGGTAGATGACAAAGTTTGAATTTAATAAAAATGTGTAATTAACAATCTAATGATGACCATGAAAGCATTGTTGATTATCAGAAAAACCCATCTGGTTTACTAATGTCCTTTAGGGAAGCAAACTCCCGTCTTCACCTGGGCTGGCCTACATGTGACTCCAGATCTACAGCAATATGACTCTTAGCTACCCTCTGGGCAATTAAGCAAGGGCATTAATGCTGGCCTAGCCAGCGATGCCCATATCTAGTGAATGAATTAAAAGAGGGATTATGGCTGATCCGACATTCCTGCATTTTCTCCGTTACCCTGATTCCCCTGCTGATCATGAAGGTATCTCAGCCTTACATATACAGAAGACCTCTGCCCACACAGCTCTCTGTGGCAAGGAGTTGCAAAGACTCTCAAACCTCAGAAGAATTTCTCCTCATTTTAGTCTTAAATTGGCACCCCTTTATTCTGAGACTATGCCGTTTGGTCCAAGACTCTACCATAACGGGGAACATTCCCAGCATTTACCCTGTCTAGCCATCATAAGGTCAGAAGTGGGGATGTTCACTAATGATTGCACAATGTTGAGTACCATTCGTGACTCTTCAGACACTGAAGGACCCCCATGTCCAAATGCAACAAGACCTGGACAATATCTAGGCTTGGCATAAAAAGTGGCAAGTAATGCAATGACCATCTCCAACAAGAGAGAATCTAACCACACTGCCCTTGAGAGTCAATGATGTTACAATCACTGAATCCCCCACTATCAACATCCTGGGAGTTACCAGTGACCAGAAACTCAATTGGACTCACCATATAAATACAGTGGCTACAGAAACTAGGAATCCTGCAGTGAGCAACTCATTTCCTGAATCCCCAGGGTCATCAACTACCTACAAGGCACAGATCAGGAGTGTGATGGAATACTCCACACTTGCCTGGATGAGTGCAAGTCCAACAACACCCTAGAAACTTAACACCATCCAGGACAAAGCATCCTCTTGACTAGCACCACATTCACAAACATCCACTCCCTCCACCACTGACACGCAGCAGCAGTGTGTACCATCTATAAGATGCACTGGAGAAATTCACCAAAGATCCTGAGACAGCACCTTTCAAACCCACTTCCAGATAGAAAGACAATGGTAGCATATACATGGGAGCACCACCACCTGCTACTTCCCCTGCACACCAATCACCATCCTGACTTGGAAATATATCGCCGTTCCTTCATTATCTTTGGGTCAAAGTTCTGGAATTCCAAACAGAATGGCATTGTGGATCCACCTAAAGAACCTGGACTGCAATGGCTTAAGGTAGCAGCTTTCCACCACCCTCTCAAGGGCAACTAGGGATGGGCAATAAATACTGGCCAGCCAGTGACACCGTGAGTGAATAAAAAAAAAATAAGAGAATAACGAATGCTCAAGGAAGGACATAAAAAATAAATAACACAATTGATAGGTGGGATTGTGTTTTTTGTTCCCGAGTTCTACAAACAAAAAGCTATTAAGCAGATTCAACACTCAAAATAGTAAATAATCTGCTATTGGAAAAGAAACAGCAAGCAAAACTATTACAACAGCCAGAGAACACATGCGATACTGCATGTCACAAGCACTGACCACCACCCCTGCCATCACTACATCAGGAGTCAAACAAAGCATTGAACTTGGCCTCACTGGCAACTTATCAATTCTCTGCTCAGCCCCTCAACACGTGCACAAGGCAAACAAACCAAAGTAACAGCTGGCAGAATCCCATGTCCCTAAAAAAAATGCAATGTCAACAACTCTTTGCTCAACACTAGGACAATAAGCAGTATCAGGTACAGACCCAGAAGGAAGCAGAATATCTGGCTGTCAATGCAACACCTTCAGCACAATAAAATGTTGCACTAATACAATACACACAACATTGTAAAAAGAGGTTTGCACTGTGATTTCCATACTTATTAACATTCTCAATTGTGTTTGATTGACAACTTTCCCCAAAATTTCATACAATAAAATTAAAGTTCTATCTGCATCTTCCAATATAGACTGGGTATTCAAATTCTCTGATTTTCTAAATTGAACATCACGGTGGAAAAGTGCACAAATCATACTGTCTTTACTACGAAAATAATTATGAGTCTTGTAAATACACTGGTACATATTTAGGTAGCCTTTCTCTCAGCAATTGTTTAATTTGTAAGCAAGTTATACAATCAGTAATATAAAAGCAAAATGAAGCTACAGGAAAGTATGAAAGAAATGTCTGGAAAGCCCAGAAGTGACCAGATCAAATTTGGTGTGTCTATATAAAAGGTGTGAAATTAACTTCACTGTCTTGTTATGACAGCAAGTCGTCACACATTAATTTTTGTTTTGATCCAGCACTGTCTGCTGTATTGCAATGAAGTTAGTACAATTGACCGTGAAAGGAATTTGTTAATCTAATCAGAAAAATCAGTGAATACTGGGTCCTATTAAAGATATTACCTGGGTAGTAGCACTGGCTCTACCTTCTGGGCTGCCACTGATGTCTAAATTCTCATATATACTCTCGAACACCTGAAATACACACATGTACACAAAATTAAAAAACACAATTACAACACATTATCTGGTACCTCCACACGGCATACCTTTGCAGTTGCGCGAGCTCTGAATTCTGGGCAGCCACTGATGGTTATTGTCTCATGCATGTACTGATAAACCTGAAAAATTATTTGTAAATCAGAAAAGAATTAATTACTCACAGTTTAATGCAGTACAGATCGCGCTTAGATCTTGAAAATATTTTCAAGGAGCAGTTTTGGTTTTATACTGTCATTTATTTCAATTTACATTACAGAAGTTTAGATATCATACGCAAATAATTAGGAAATTAAGATGTTCAGCACCAGATATCCTTAACGTGGAAATAATTTCTATAATAACATGTTATTTTCTCTTGAATGTAAAACAATTTCTCGAATTACATTGTTTCTAAAGTGTGGTAGTGCCTCTTCCCATCTCAGGTACAGAACAGGCACTCTGGAACAGGGTTAGTTTGAGAGATAAAGAATAATCAACAGAAACTGCAAACAAAGTGACAGTACAAAAAATAGAGCGAAAGAAGAAAATGAGAAAAGAAAATAAAGTATGAAAAAGACAGAAACTAAAAAGATATAATAAAAAGCAAACAATGTAGAGAGAAACTGGAGGATGGTGATGCTCTTTTAGTTGCTGATGATAAATAGACATAGTTCTATACATGTAACTGTATTTGGGTATTTGCCTGATAGAACACTTTGTTATCAAAGACAAAATACAGCAAGTGTTAAAAGTCTAAAACAAAAACAAATACTCATCAAGTCTGGCATCATCTGGGAAGAGAAAAGTAGAGTTAACATTTCACATTTAACATTTCATCAGAACGAGAAAAAATTCGAGGAAATGAAAGATGGAATGTTGTAAAGAACAAAAGGGAAAGTATGAGTTAAGGTGGATAGTGGGAGAGATTAAATGGTAAAAGGTTTCACTGTGCAAGGGAGTGACAAATTGTGTTAAGATTATCAAATGCCTCAGACCTAAAGAAGGGAAATCACAGTTGCTGTTGCTCCTCCTGGCCTATGCCACCCCAGCTAAACCTCTGACCCCAATGAGAACACAGTGGCTGCTACGACCAGCACACTTTGGGCTGCCTTGAACCCTGGACCCTGGTTATTGGGCACCATTTTACTGTCCTAGCCTGGGTCTTGTCTAGAGGATGTATGAACAGTAGGATCCTGAATAGCTGCCAATAACTGAAAGTAAAGGAGATGAGAAAAATGAGTGAGGAAAAACAATCTGCGAAGAAAACAAGAATAAAGGGACATTATTATTATCATTGAAAATTGTTGAACTCAATATTGAGTCAAGAATGCTGAGAAATGCCCAAGTGCTGCTCTATGATCTTGTGTTCAGCTCCACTAAAACACTGTAGCAGGTCAAATAGAGAAAGGTCAGAGAGAACGCTAGGTAGAGAATGACCGGAAACTGAAGGTTATGCTCACAGACTGAATGGAAGTGTTCCACAAAGTGGCCATCCAGTCCCATTATGTACAGGAGAATACATCATGAGCAGTGAATACAGTACACTAAATTGAAAGCAGTACAAATAAATAAACAGTTTCACTTGGAAGGAATGTTTTGCTTCTTGTATTTTAAGAAGGGACAGGTAAAATGAAAATGTTATTATGTCTCCGGTAAGGAAAAGTGTATTGGAAAGTAGATGGGTTTTTAGGGTGATTAAGGGATGGATCATGGTGTTGCAGAGGTAGCTGACACTTCAGTGCAAAAAGGGGAGAAAACCTAACTTTTTTTATGGTGGCATCACACAGAAGACAAAGGAAATGTCTGAGGATTTGTTATCCAGTGCTTACTGGAGCCCACCAAGGGAATATGGTTCGATTCTTTCATGTTGGAGATGGACACTGTATAGCACTTTAGAGGTTTGAATGTTACATGTCACTTTTTTTATTTATTTCGGCTAGTTGCTTCAATGGCTGGGCCAGCATTTATTGCTCATTTAAGGTTTTAGCAAAGGTTTGTAGTTCGGGTTGTGGGTGAGATTGTTGACTTGTGCCTTACCACACACTTCGTCTTTAATGGTCAAGTATACAAACAGATCAATGGCACACCCATGGGGTCACCCATCTCATGACTCATCGCCGAGGCAGTCATACAAAGACTAGAACATACCACCGTCCCCCTCATTCAACCTAAACTGTGGATCTGGTACATGAACAACACATTTGTCATTATTAAAAGCACCAAACTAGAAGAGACCCACCACCTCATCAACAACATTTTACTGGGATTAAATTCAGGAGAGAAGAAGAAAACACTCAGCTTCCGTTTCTGGACGTCAGAGTTGAACGTACGACCAACAGGGAGTTCCAAACCTCTGTATGCAGGAAAGCAACCCACACTGACCACATCCTCAACTTCCACAGCCACCACCCCAATATCCACAAACAAAGCTGTATTAGGGCACTATTTAAATGGACCAGCACTCACTGCAACACACCAGAGCTACACAGGAACGAGGAAGAGCATCTGTGCAAAATCTTCACTATGAACAGATATCCCCGCAACTTCATCCTCAGGTGCCTACTAAACAGACAACAAGAGGACACAGTACACCTTAACACACTGGGCACATTGCCCTACATCAAGAACATATCAAAACTGACAACAAGACTCCAATGACCACTAGGAATCATGGTAGCAGGTAAGTCCACAGCCACTCTATGACAAACACTCACAAGGATTAAAGACCCCATTCGCACAACATGCAGAACCAACATGGTTTACAAAGTACCACGCAACGACTACCACAAACATTACATTGGACAGACAGGAAGAAATTAGCCATCAGAATACATGAACATCAGCTAGCAGCAAAACAACACAACGATCTTTCCTTCATCTCAGTACACCCGGACAATGAAGGCCATCAGTTTAACTGAGACAAGTAACCATAGTAGCCCAAGCCAAACATAGACGTGCACTGGAATTCCTAGAGGCATTGTTTTCAACCCATAATGCAATCAACAAACATATAGGATTGGACCCCACATACAAACCTATACAAAACAAAACCAGAAATGACACTACTCACCATAACGGACCAAACAGTAGAAATTCCAAGCGGAGTAGAATAACATCGCTTCATCAGAGGCCTCACTGATGATGTTACCTAGCATGGTGATGAAACATCTGAACGAAAACAAGCCAGCTCAGCGAGCAAGTCAACAACCTCATTTATTGGTCATCTCTTACTACCCTGGAGAAGATGGTAGTCAGCTGTCTCTTGAACCATTGGTGACAATTGGTGTAAGTACATTACTATGAGGAAGGCAGTTTTAGGATTTTGACGCAGGGACACTGTAAGAAACTAATATATTTGGAAGTAAGAAATCAAATAGTCTGTTTTGTTTCTGAAAGGTAACAAACATCTTGAAATTTGTTGAAGCAGCAGGCAGTGCAGAGAATTACGTAACACTACTGACTTGAATCTAGTAGATGGTAGGTTGGCTTTAGGGAGTCTGGAGGTGAGTTATTGCTGAAGGATTCCTAACATTTAACCTGCTCTTGTAGCCATACTATGTAATTGGTTGGTATAGTTCCGTTTCTAGTCAATGGTGAGCCCCTGGATGTTGATAGTGGGAATTCAGCAGTGGTAATGCCACTGAATATTGAGAGGCAATGTTTGGATTCTCTTTTGCTGAAAATGATCAATGCCTGGAACTTGTATTGTGAATGTTACCTTCCATTTGTCAGACTAAACCTGGACATTGCTTGCTATAGTCGAACATTTACTACTTCAGTATGAGTAGTTTTGAATGGTGTTGAACATTGTGTAGTCATCAGTGAACATTCCCATGGTGTGAACTGAATTCGCTGAAGACTGGTATTTACACTGCAATCGTCTGGAAGAAATAAAGATGTTTTAGCCACTCGGCACTTCTGGCTGAAGATATTTACAAATGCTTTGCCTTTATGTTTTGCACTGATATGCTAGGAGGATGGGGATATTTATGCAGCCTTCTCCTCCATTGAGTTGTTTAATTATCCACCGCCTTTAGATGTGGCAGAATTGCATGGCTTAGATCAGATCCGTTAGCTGTGCAATTGTGTATCTCTTCTGTCTATCACTTGCTGCATATACTGTCTGACATGGTAGTAGATCTGTGCAGTAGCTTGATCAGGTTGACGGTATTTTTAGGTATGTCTAATGCTGTTCCTGGCTAGGCTTCCTAGATTCTTCATTGATCTTGGGTTGATCCCTGGTTTGATAATAATGGAGAAGTGGGGATATGCTGAGTCATAAAGTTGGAGATTGTGTTCGAGTACAATTCTTCTGCTGCTGATGGCCCATAGCGCCTCATGATACTTAGTCTTGAGCTGTTAGATATATTTGAAATGTCTACCATTTAGCATGGTGATAGTGCCACACAACATGATAGAGGGTATTCTCAATGTGAAAGTGGGATTTCATCACCACAAGGACAGTGCAAAAAAGCATGAAACTAAATAGCTACCCACACAAAGAAGTAGTCATATTGAATAGCCTACAACAAAAGGAAAATCTAAAGTTTTCCAGCGGAGACAGGTGATTCAGATACTTTGGCAAGTTGATATTTATATCAATAATCATCTCATGAATTTCAAATCAGTGTGTTGTGATATTATCAGACAGTGATTTAGAACCACCAAAACACTATTTGAGAAAAAAATAGTAATACTGGCACCAGTCTGCAACCAAACATAGAAACTGCTGGAAAAGCTTAGCAGGTCTGGCAGCATCTGTGGAGAGAAATCAGAGTTAACATGTCGGGCCCATGACCCTTCCTCAGAACTGGTGGTAGCTAGGAAAACATTTTTATGCAAAAAAAAAGGTAGGGGGGCAGGGGTAGTAACAAACAATGGGTGGAGATAGCTCAGAGAGAGAGAAGAACAGTTGGACAAAGGAGTGGGTAACTGTCAGCCTAGGAGAATTAATTGCTACTAATGGGGCAATTAGTGCCTAACAATAGGTTGTGTGTAATAGCAGACCATATGATAACAAAGTGTGGTGTGTGGGGGTTCAGCACGGGAGAAGATGCCTCAAACCCTAAAATTGTTGAACTCGATACTGAGTCCAGTAGAAAATAAGTTGCTGTTCTTCCAGCTTGCGCTGAGCTGCACT